TCAAAATCTTGTGCGATTGCCTAATTAGTAGTTTTTGCGACGACCTGACCTTTTAAAAAGTCAGACAGCATTTTCTATCATACTGTCCCCTTGAGAAGTAGGATGTTAGCACAATAAAAAAGTTTGGCGAAACGGAAGTGAAAAATAATAGAAAAACATGAGGTGGAGTTATAATTTTGGGACGTCGGCTAAGTGGCCTTTTGAACAAAAATTATTAGAAAAAATTCCTGGGATCTCAAGTTGGAAGTTGATGTTTATAGGCAATTTCGTATTTGTATTTACCACACTGCCACATTGGAGACTTTTTCTAAAACATCTAAATTTGTGAGATTTTGGGAAATTCTTAGGTGGAGTTATAATTATGGGACGCAGTGTATTGCGAACCGCTTGGTCTGCAAGCTCATCCGTCTCCTTTCAAGTATTCCTAGTGTTCACAAATATTTCGGTGAATTCAACCTCAGGTCGACTGCATTGTTACCAGTCTTATGACAGTTCTTTGCACGCTATTATATGTAGTCTATTCATATTTTTGCGTGTTTTTAAGCACAAATAAATAAATAGACAAATAAATAAATAAAACTGCCATCACTGTGATTTGAGATTTCTCTGGTGATGGCATTATTTTCGAAACTCATCAATGAATAAAGGTTCAATAGTACTCATTCAATATAAAGTTAATTAAAGCTCAGAGACAGCTGCCCTTGCTAGTGCATTATTAGTTCAGACGCTCAAAGTATAGCAGAACAAATTGCCGGTGAGGATAAAATAAAGGGCGAGGAATTCGACTTTGATCAACTCCTTTCTGGGATACGGTATGCATTCGACTTCTGGTAAGCTAAAGCTGGCGCCGCTTACTACGCCTACAGTCCGGTGATCAAGCCCCTGCCCAGAGCAGAACAGTCTTCCTTTCTTCTGAAGCCAGGTACCCAGCACAAGAGTGGGAAGTCCAGACTGGACAAAGAACAGTTTGTAAACTACGCACTTTTTATGACGACCCCTCTACCTCTACTCAGATAGACTTGCAGGAGCAACCTCCGAGTTACGGGCCGCAGCAATGTTGGCAGCATAGCTGCCGCCACGCCACCGAGTCTATAACTGCCTGTTCGCGCCTGCAACCTAGTTACTCCGTTGGGGTTGAGACAGCCGGAAACCTGTCACGGACGAGGCGCTGTCAGTCCAAAACAGGTGGCGCTGTTAAACGCTGCAACCCTGACAACTAGTATGTGAACCTCCATGCAAAGTTACTGACTCGATTCAGCACGCTCAACCTATCCCCGTCCCGATATGCCAAGTCCCGAACAAGGGGGACACCCTACACGGAGAAAACACAGCCCATTAGAACGTAAATATCGCCTGCATTCCGTTCGAGCCTTTGATTATTCATCTCATTTTTTGCTTCCATTGTTATTTTTTAACGATTTAAATGGGAGGGACTCTGAATACAATAAGAACCTCTCGCTGATCCTCACGTGACATTCGCAAAATGATCTCGTTGCGATACACCTGAATGCTACCCAGGTCTCCGGACATACTATCACATCGCGCTGAGGCCTAGCCTCAACGATTGAGAGATATCCCGACACGCTTCTCATCCCTCGATTGAATTAGAGTCCACGTTGATAGATGTCAGCGTTTTTTTGCTGTTCTGGGAGCTCTCACACAAGCGCACTATTACAGAATCTCCGCTTTCTTTACCTCCTTAAAAGGCTTAGTCCCACTATCCACAAAGAAACGTCTGCTTTTCCTTCTACACTCTCACCCCCTGGTTGACAGAAGCCTTGTAACCGCGAGAAACTGCCCTTTTCTTATCAGGAAATTGAAGTGCACAGCGCTCCTATGACCATCAATTCTACAATCTGGTGGCCTGCGCCATAGGACGTTTGAATGGGGGTCGTTCGTACCTCAGCAGGAGATTCGTACTGTGGACCTCCAGACATACAGTAAACTCCTTCATGTAGTAGGATTCCTTGTCTTCTAGCAATATCCTTTGCAAGCTTCCTAAACCACACGCATTGTATGGAACGACACTCTCGGTCGGTTCCAGCTGTGCCAGAAGTGACACTCACCTCTCTTGACCGCAGAAGGGAATAAAAACATTCTGCGAGAATTGCCCGATAACAATCTTAAAAGACCAAGTCGTGGTACCTCAAAGACTTGTCGTAGGCATCATGAACGGAGACGAAACGTGCTCCGAAGCGGCCGTCATTCAAGCCTACAAGAGGTGAAAACCCAGCCAGACCTGGTAGAAAGATGTGGTCCTGAAAGGATAAGTTCTTCCGTGGCTCGCATTGTTATATCCGTCAGTCTTAGCAAATCTTCTTTTGCTCGCATTGTTATATTCGTTCAGTCTATAGCAATAGTTTCACCTTAATGAGCATAAGGTCTCCATACTTGAACTTCGGATTGACTCCTCCAGCGGCATTTGAGACCACCATCCGCTTCACTCCCAACTGATGCATAACTCTCACAGGGAAAGCACACTGCAAGAAAAACCGTAAGGAGCATCTCAGAACATTGACCAATTTCTTTTCGACAGCTTTATCAGAGGTTGACTGTGGACGTAGTGACTGAAAAGTAAGGGTCCCACTCACCAGCGCCAAATTCATGTTATGCTCATAGGGATGGAAACGTCCCTGCATGCAGACAACTTTCCTGCCGCCAATATGCCCGAAAATCAGATTGCCTTTGTGTCCGACAACTGAAATTGGGATAAAGCTAAGAACCACAGAAGTCATTATTTACAGTAGGTGCAACGCTTTCACACCTATATATTTACACCAGTTTAGCGGCCGCACGCTACCGCGCGCATGAAACGGAAGGTCCGGATGAGACAGGACAGCCGATAAAGCGTTAGATTCACCGCTAAACATTGAGTTGCTTCGTAAAATGCGTTAGCTGACCGCTCCATAGGCTGCTCATCTTTGCAGAAGCTCACCGTTTGATACGCGCAGTGGAGTGCGGGCGGGAGGCGGTCATATGGCGCGATCCCATTGGCATTAGAGCGCACAGTATCCAGGACAACTCGTCCGTATCACACAGCTGCTAGACTTCAGCAATTGATCGATGTGATAATTTGGGCCCTCAAAAATCTCGCTGAGTCCCAAAGATCTAAAAAAAGAGTGGGTAGCTTCGTTGGCCTGATGCCAAGGCAAGAGAACGGAACAGAATGTGTTGCGCGGACGAGTTGTCCGGCCACAGCAGGATGTGGTAATTACGGCCTGTGCGCTCCAATGCCAATGGGATCGCGCCATATGACGCACACCCAGTGCGGAGCTAAAGTGGTGTCTGTAAACAACCACCATGCATCGAATGTCAGTGTAATTTAGCGGTCGGATTGTGTGTGATGTTAAAATAAAACATCCAGCACTCGTTATCGTATTTCTCCGAACATCACCATACATTTTTAGGAACTCTGGGGAGCATAGCGGTCTAGTGGTATTTCGGGCTGATGATAACAACGCAAATGAAAGAA